CGTTCGTTCACCTGAAACTCATTCAACAGTGGCGATTAGTTTTACTGTTTGCTGAGACTATGTCGAGGGGTTTGGTTCTTCGGCGGCTCTTGCTGGGTGGGAAGCTGTAAACCTCAAAATGGTACCCTCATGCTTTTGTATTCGTTCATAAAAGAATATTCATCTTTGATCGTTGAGTGACTCACAAGTTCAGCTCTTCCCTTGTTTTGTTATGAAATTGAAGGTCAGAAGAGAGTTAAATGCAAGAAAACGTCAAGAATCTATTTGTTCTTTCATATCGCGCCAGAATATCAAGTAATGCCACCTCTCTAGTTCAGACATTTACTTAAACTATGTTTGAAGGAAGTGTCCACATTTATAATTAACTAAAAGCCGTATTGCTTTAAATTTCATTGATTCTGTTCCCTAGTCGTTCACTTTTTCTTCGCATCCTGGAGCACCAGAAAACCAAACTCATTTGAAATCGATGCATTTTGCGTATAAAAAATAAAACTTCGACATCTCATCATGGTCGTTAAACTGAGTACTCCATCACCCTCCACTTGCTTTCGGCAGCAACATTCAGCCTAGCCAGTCGAGTTTTAGTGCGTCACTTATTGCACTTTACACACTGTGCCAAGTGGGTAGTCATCTAGTGTGAGTGCTTGAGGCTGAAGTACTGTCCAATAAAGGAACGTGACTAATACAAAGCCAAGCGATTGGCCAAGGAGACAACTCCCATGACTGGAGATTAAAAGTTAGCCATTTATGTTCTGCCAAATTTCTTAATATTCTCGCATCATGTCGACCAACAGTTACATACCCCGGCACAGGTATGAACGGAAATATACCCTTTTGTCAGCGAAACAGTTACGACTGAAACCTACAACGAGATGTGTTGCAAATAAAAGTCTGGCTTACTCATATTAAAACTATAAAAACCACTGTGCTTACCGGATCGTACAACATACAGTAAATTGATGATGAAAGGGAACGTAATGTAAAAACACCTGTCAGGTGAGCAGCTTGACACACTTTGGCAACACCAAACTCAGATTTACGACGAGGCGCACAACTGATCTCTCGGGCTGTGAACCACTCACTTCAGGTCAGCCTTGAGTGTGTAATAATACGTGAAAATTTCCACCAGGACTTTTCTTTTTCATAGTCATACGATCGTTGCCGAGTTAAGTCCTAGTAAGGTGGCGACGGAATGTCACTAAAGAATCTTTGCGACTTTTCGGGCATTCCAGTTGGTAGCTGTGCTGAGTATATGTTTGACTGAGGCAGGAAGCGTGTTAGGTCTTCAAATGCAGGCAACCTAGACAACCCTTAGATGAGTGTAGCGTAACACAGTTCAGAGTATTGTTACATGGATACAAAGTGCAACATATTTTCGCGCCTTAACGCCTGTATAGAATTGTGCTGATAGCCTCAAAATAGGGTTTACTGAAGTTTTGTCCTGGCAATATCTGATTACCCATCACCCGTCAGTGTATTTATGTAGATATATGTAGATATATGTATAAGTATATATGCATTATGTATGTGTATATGCATATGAACCACAGCAGATAATGGATAACAAAAAAAAGACAGAACATAGTGAAGCTATTCAAGCACTAGGCCCCGAATGGTAGTTTCCGCAGCAGGACCCACGAGTTTTCTGGAACTTTCTGGTTGTTTAATGACAGCCTCGGGTAATGGAATCAGAATTTATGAAAAAATCCTGATTTTATGGATGTTTTGGACACTTTGGAGTCTGTATCTAGGATATCTTCCAGGCGATGTCATTCGTATTGACATGATGGTTCCAACGACTTACATTTGTATTGTGTCCATTTATTCATTTATACCATAAAGGAGAGCTACTACAGGGGGCAAGCCTCATTCCCATTGATACGAAGACATTTGTCACGCCAGCATACACGATAATTCATGATACAGTTCCGTACCTGCTTAAGCGTTATCCCTCAGAATCTCGGTACTTAACAGATCTTGCCTACGATTTCGTTGGGACACCACTCGTTGTATAACTTGGACCAGAAGATCTTATACCTTGTCAGTGGTTTCCTGTCTTCGGGGCTTGACTGAACGTACCATCTACACGTTCATCGGATCGAATTGTCTGAACGGATAACACTTAAACCACCTAATCGCACTCAGTAGATTGGTTTAGATTATAGTTAAGGTGTCAGATATAAATTTAAGCTCTGGAAAACTGTTGGGGGATATCTCCTCTTATCGACACATATCGGTAGGTCGAATCTCCAGATTCAACAACCCTCGAAGAATCACTGACTATTTGTCAAATGCTCTCACTTGCACACTAGTTTAGTTTAGCCAAAGACCCATCTTGATTCAGCTGTTTCTCTTGTTTATGCTGGTTGGTTGCTGGCGATTTTTTGTAAACTTACATGTGGTTTTTTACGTCCAAGCACTATTCATGGCAAAATATCATAATCATTCTGAGGGATTTGTCATGCTTGTGTCACTGACACCCATTCAGTTGCATGCAGCAAAAACTTCCCTTAGCAGCAGTCAAGAAATAACACCGATCAATAAGAATGAAGAACCCGCAACGTTGCATTAGGAACATGTCCAGAGCTGCAACAACTCAGGCTTCTTGGTATTCATGCATGTGACAGGTGCGTGCTTTTTTCCATCGTCGATGTGTTTCTCCGTGTCACTTCAAACCAATTAGGCCAGCCACATTTTACTAGCTAGAGAAAATAAAGCGCCGAGGAAGGCAGGAGTTTTAAACGGAAAAAATAGAGATCAATGACCGACAGATTCGCATAAGATGACGGCCTCGAAATTTCACTTGAAGGACGGTTTGTATCACGTGTGTGTATACGGTTTTATTGCATTATTGTATTCGGTTTTCATTCCGCAGGAAAAAGTTGGAGAATCGGCTCGAACAATACGTCCTCATTTGTCTGCGTTTACCGATAGTTTGTGGTTTGAATGTGCTACCATCCTTCTCATCCACCGAAGCCTGACAGCGAGTGATAGTGACCACCCTGAGAAACAGCTCGAGAGTCGCGGAGTGTGCTTCCCGTAAATTCTTTTGATTTACAAGCCTATACCGCCTGTCAACCGTCCATCTTATGTGGGTGTATGAGTTTGGTGAGGGGAGGTTTAAAAGATGCCGACTCATGTTTACTGAAAGACCTGTGCAGACAGGCACATCCTGTCCGCAACCAAAATCCGAATTTCGTGGGCTGTTGTTCGAATTTTTTCATCACAATAACTCCAATGTCTCTTTTACCCTGAGGTAAACTTGGTAGCGCCCAGTGAGCTGGAAGTATCAAACCATCCTCTCGCTGATAGGCACTTATCCACATTTATAAATAGTTCCGGTTTTGCACCAATTCATGAAACAGCCCAGGTATTCCTGAAGGGTGTTCGCATCGTCACAGTTCAGACAAACCCTCTACGCTTTGATGTCAATAGCGCGGACCAGGTATTTCGGGTGGATGGTTTTGAGTGGGTCAAGAAAGTAGATTAAGAACTACGTGGGACGGAGTACTGGCCCTTGAAGAACCTCGCAGCAAACAACCCGTTTTTTCAACATGGTTTCTATGATATATTCATAAATGTATCTCTCTGATGACATTTTATCAAAAGCACCGCTTACAACCATTGTACACTTTAACTCTAGCATGAAATTGTCGCTCAACGCAAGAATCCGAGACCCAATGTAGGATACCATCATTAAGCACTCAGCTTCAACATTTATGAAATGCTTTACTGAAGTCCACGGGGGTTATATCTACGTAGTTCCCATAGGTCCATTGCTCTTCAGCCACCAAGAGGAGGGTGAGTGTGTGAAAGGGGCTTTGACGAAATCTGTGTTGGTGAGTAACTAGTGAACTGTCCTAAGCCAAATATTAATTCACCCGAATGGACAGGAGTTTGTCCAGGACCGTGTAAAATACGCGCGTTAAACGAACGGGGCGGTAGTTTTCCGAAGTATGTTTGCTGCCAGATCTGAGCACTGGGCTGACGGTTACAGGTGTCCATTTTGTCGAGATTCGTCCTTCTTTAAGAGAACTTGTAAAAGGATTCCCGATTAGCCTGATGGGGACGTTTACCCATCCCATGAGTGTTAGCAGGGGACAGTGTCGAGTCCAGAATATCTATGAGGTTTCAGCAACATTAGACAGTTGAACAAGCTCCATTCACTAAATTCCGCCCCGGTGGATGTGTCACGTGCGCAGACTCTCAGTGCTGTAGTGGATAACGTGAGCAAATACCAGTTCAAAGTAGTGAAATCAAGTGAGAAAAATAGGCGAGATGATACATACAACTCACAGTTCGTTGGTACAGTTAGTTATTATCACCACAATAAATCCAAATCGATCTCCTTTCTGGAATCTTCCTTGATATATTCCTAGATACTTTCTCTCCCGTCGTAGTGTGAAAGGTAGATCACCGCTTGTTAATTCACTGCCAGCGTAATTCGACACAGCAAGAAAGGAACACGCCTTTCACGAGGTACAGAATTTGTATTGTGTCATATTTCTTTCTCGTTCATTTAAACAAAAGTTATTCGGTATGAGGAGAAGAGGAATAAGCTGAGATTTTAGTGAGAGATAGAAAGTGGTGCAATTTGAGTAATGATAAGTTACAAAGAAAGTACTAATGTAAAATGGTCAGAAGGATCACCATAGAACTCCCCCCTAGAGCGTTGCATAAACAAAATAAATGCTCGGCAAGGAACGCTACTAAGATATGTAACTGTACAGCTTCGTTGGCCAAGTCACTTTTCTACCAGAACGAGTATGAACAACTGGCTGTAAGTTATCCGGCTTTTGAGCTGCTATGTCGTTCGTGTTAAGCGGAGGCGTAGATAAGCGTTGTGATTGGTTGATAGGAGAGTATACGGTGGGATCAACGTGCGCTACTTTTAGTCGATCGACGCTGACGGTATCTTGAACACCTCCTTTGTCGATGACGAAATATTAGGGTCGGCGCGAAATAACGCGGTATGGGTCGACGTACGGTGGCTGTAACGGTTTCTTCA